CTGAACAACAAATGTTTATAATGTTTTACGTTAAGTATTAAAAAAAAAAAAAAAAAAAAAAAAAAAAAAAAAAAAAAAAAAAAAAAGGAACAGAAATTTAAATGGCATAGTAAATTTTAGGATTAAGGATTATTATTATTATTATTACTATTATTATTGTTTATGAATTGAAAAGAGAATTCCTCCTTCCTTCCAAGTTAAAGATGATAAAGCACCATGTTCTAGATGCATCCTAGTTTCAGTTGAATGGCATTTAATTTTCACTGACATTTTTCCTGAATAATAAAAGAGATCCTTTAAGAGACACTTTTTTCCCTTTAAGAGACACTAGCTCTAATTTATGTATCTTTTGTTATTATTGATTTAACCTCGCTGTTCAATTTAATAAGACACATATAACCAAAATATTAGAAACTGCCATTTACACTACATTTAGTATACATTATATTTTCAATGGGTGAAATATTTATAACATTAAAGGATAAGCTGAACAAAGGTATTTATAAAATGACTTGGAGAAAAATAAAATTCATGGTAAGTTTCGCTGTGTGTGGATAACAACATTAGCTGTAAAACATTAAATTAATGAAAAACATTTATGGAAATAAAATGGCCATTAAGATGAAATTTCATACAGATTGATACATAGGTACAGTAGCTATCAAGAAAACTACAAGTACATTTGCTTTTATTTATTTTTAAGGTAAAACATATAAAAGTAATTTATTTCTGAAATTTCCTTAGTTATTTATCATTCAATGCATAATACTAAATATTATGACTTTTTAAAGTACAAATTAATATTTTTTAATGACTTTAAAATTATTTCTATTTTCCATCTCAGTAATTGCTTTAATATAAAATTCTACAATATTAAATTCAGTTATTTTTAGAAAACTGATTTACTTAATGAACAACTTTTTGGTTTTTTATTTTAACTTATCACATTTAATAAACTGTGAAAATTTTCAGCACATTCATGGAAAAATGTGTGGATGGCATGTTTTAAATACTGTAAAGTTACTTTACTGTTGTATAACTAAAAGCACTGGTATATGAAGATCAAATGTGTTTAAAATGGTGTTTTTACATTTGTATTGTGCATATATTATTTGAATGTAATCATAAAAGTATGGTACAAAATTTATGGTACATATTTTTTACCTTACATATACATATGCACACACACACGCACATTACATTTCGCAATTAGTCGCTTTTCTTCACTCACTTAATTATTTTTTATTATTTACAACTGTCATCTATTTTTAATATTTTGCATCTTTATTGGGCATTTTTAATTGCTATTACTTTCTGTCTACTATTAAGACTTCTGTTTAACATTGCTAATACTACTATTATTGTTATTACTATTACAACTTATTTAAAAATTAAGCCATCAAAAATAAAGACACTGAAAACATTGCAAATTATTATGTTTGTTGTGTGTTTGTGATTATGGCAAAGCCTCGAGGGCTATCTGCCTAAGGGGAAGGAATGCCTTCGTGGAGGACTTTCTAAGTGAAACTGGCTCGTATACACGTTATACATGGGGAAAACTACGAAAAACGCCCATGTAGCCAGCCCGTTCGTGGGATTCGAACCTCGGACCGAACTACCAGTGTTCAGCAATGTTACCGCTCAGCTGCTGGAGGGCTCATGTTTGTTGTGAGATCGATGGAGGTCTCCTATTGGATGCAAATCATGCCATCTGTTTTAAGTTTTCTGATTGACTTAGTAGCTCAGAGCAACTTAAATACAAAATCTCTCTGTGTAGATGAAAAGCTGTCTGGAGATTCATTTGGAGATACGTCTCCTCATATAGGCGAGGCTTAATGCGAACTTCAATTAGAAGATCTTTGTTTCTGCAGCAAGGCATCAAGAATCTTGGCATCAAGAAAATGTGTTTTAATGGGAACAATATGCAACTTTATGTGAAAATGAATATATAATGACAGTGCAATGTGAAAAATCATGATATGAGATTTCAGTTTCTTTTTTTATATGTTATATCCGTAATTTGAGCCTTTTGATTATAATTAAAATAAAGAATGATTTTTTTCCTAAAAGCCTTTATCAAAATGATTGCTACATGATTGGCAGCACCTCTGTAACTTTCATTATTGATGGAACTTTATAACTGGATACAGTGCTTTACTTTCTTATATTGAACACTAATAAAATAAGTCAGATCTTATGCATGAAATATTTTTTTAATTTTGCATAATTTTAAATGTAGGCTTTTGATACTGAAGCTGGAATACAAAGAAGATGGCTGTTTTTTAGATTGGAAATTTCTTTCTCCATTCACTTGGCTTTTGCTACCATGAATTGCATTTTGTATACCTGCAACTACCCAGAAATTTCATGCATTCGGAATTCGGCATTTCCCAAATGTTTTAGTATCAAGTACCTACTACACCTACTACACCAATCGATTTGTGTGGAACTACCTACTACACCAATTAATTTGTGATAATAATGTGCCAAAACTTTCCAGTGAAACTACAGAAAGAAATCCTACACATACCAGTTAAATATTCGAAACTGCATATTTAATCAAATTTAAACTTTTATTGTGAATAAACAGTGCATTTCTACCAAACAATATTACATATTACATTATTAACGTGTTATCTTTTATTGAAAATGTTTAGCCAACTTATCTTGTATTAAACTGTTAAAAATCAGTCCTGATAAAAACAAAATTCCAGCTTTTGGGCATAATGTAAATATTTAAATATCTGAAAAATGAAAATGACAATTTGAAACTGACAATAAAATTTATGTTTCATTTCATAAACCATAATTTTTTCATATTAAAAGTTTAATATTTAACATTACAATTCCAAATTTATGTGCTAAATAACTAAATTTAACTTAATACATTAAATGTGCTAATGTAGCTAAATTTAATGAAATATATAAATGTGCTAAAGTAATTAATTTTAATATACTAGATTACTTTGCTATACAACACAACAGTACTTTATTTTTTAACGATATTTTCACTTAGAGTATCAAGATTAACATATAAGAACAAAATACAAAATTATTAAACAGGATTCATAGCCACATTTTAGTTAAAAAAATAAGCACCTATAAGCACTTTTCAAGCACATTTTAAGAAAAAAAAAAAAAATAAGCACCTGTCTAATTACATCATACACAACTGCATAACCTTAAAAATTAGACTTTGTAATTTAAATACTATGAGAAATGAAAGTACTTATTAAGAGAATAAGCATACCTCAACCATGGAAAATAATTACTTTTAAAAAATTTTTTTTTTTTAAATTTTAAATAATAGTTCAATTTACAGAACTAGTTACAATGAGAGGGAAAAAAAAACTATGAAGAACTAAAATATTACAAGATTTAATGATGAAATTTCAGTTCAAATAGAGAAAATAAATAATAATAAGGCAATTTTTGTATTGCTTGGAACCTAATAAATACAATTTTTTTTCCATTCATATTGATATTTAAATAATTTAAATCTAAATTCTGAACATTTCTAAATTTTCATTGTAATCAGTTTCCTCTTAACAGAAATTGCAAGCAAAGTAATTTAAGTAAAAAAGGGGAAAATTTCTGAAATCAGAAGACAGAAATTTGCTTCATGCAGCCATCTTTAACAGTAAAAGTTTAACTAACCCGCATACTTGGAATTGGCGAATATTCGGACAGTCGAGCATAACTTGAAGGAGCGGGAGGGGGATAGACTGCAGCCGATCTTTGGATTTTTCCGCTAATAAATGCTTTTGACATTTCAATATGTGCATCATATAAAAATAAACCAACGGAACTAAAAAATATTCTGCTTAGCAAGCACAGTAAAACTCTTTCAGTTAGTAAATAACTGTTCATAAACAAATCTCAGACTGAACATCAAAATTAATTATCTCTGCAAAACATCGCAAACGTTATGGCGCAATACGTGCGCCGTAATTCTTCCCTACGTGATATTACGCAATCAGAATCAACAACAACTGCCGGTATTGGGAGAATAAAGAACTAAATAACTGGGGTGTTTTTCATTCTAATTTTCAACAGACGGCGTTAAATTTCCAGAATAGAATCATTCTTTGCTTGGGTTGGTAGACCGCAGAACTTTTAGTCCTATTAAATCCAGATCGGAAAGTGACAAAAAAAAAAGTCCGTTGCTTGTTTTGCAGCAAACTGTAACAGTTTTAAATATTCAAGATTTTGCGGAGAAAGGGGAGACCTCCCAACCTTCGTACTGTATAATATATTGGCCAAAAAAATTCAATTATTTTGACTATTCGATTACTTTTCCTTTATTTAAGCCATTCCGAATATTATTCCTTAGAAAGCTAATCTGTGTTAAAACACAACCGTTTTTGGAAGTTTACTATACTTCAGAAGTTACTGCAACTATGTTATTATAAACATTCATACATATACTCATAATATAAGCATAACGATCATAATAAACGCGAATATGAACTGACCAAGCAGAACGAGAATGCAAATTTTTAAGATCTTGATAGAAATTTAAACGTGTGTAGTATTTGGGTGGGAGGAAAAGAATGCCGAATGCAGCGGAATTTTCTACTGTTTTCGCAATTCTTTGACCAATAGAACGACGGGCACCTGTCTATACTCTTCGTGCACACCAAAGGTTATGTTAATGCAGAGAAAGGAGGAAAAGCTATTTACGGGAGTATGATTCACCATCTGATATTCCATATCAGGAAGAAAAGTTGTTTATTTAGTTTCGGCTTTGGAACGGGGAAAAATTAGGGGTACGGGGGGGCGTTCATTTAAAAAAAAAGTTCTAAAAGCAAAAAATAAGCAATAAAAACAAAAAATATGGGCTTTAAAGAAAAAGTAAGCACCTATAAGGGCCTTTATATTTTATTTTCAAATATAAGGACTTATAAGCACTTATAAGGACCGCTACGAACCCTGTTAAAATAGTTTTTTATATGAAAAACATAATTACATTGATAATTTGCAAAAGAAGAAAATATTACCTTATCTTTTTGTGTTATACAGTTAAAATCTTCCTCTAACTGCTCTTTTAAAATATCAGGTATATTTATCATCACTTCTCTTTCCATTTCTTCCTAAAAGTATTACATAAGGCTAATTAGATATTCTATATATGCAAATAAAAACAGATGTACACTAGTTGAAAGGAAAGCAATTAAACTGCAAGAATGATATCATTTATTCCAAATATACACAATCAAACTCCTTTAGTCCCCAACAGTCAACTGAAAGGGTCATTTCACATTTTAATGTCTTGAACAGATATATGCATTTTACAGTTAACAATGTCAGATCTGTTATATTAATACTCATTATAAAACCATTCCACTTTATAAAATAAGACTCCTCTGCTAAGAGTTCTGATATTTACCAGCAATTTTTTTACTAATGAACTCACTTTTATCCTACATCTAATTGCAGGTTTTTTTTTTTTTTTTTTTTTTTTAAAGTCATTCTCTCTGACTAAATGGTCCACCTCATAAAATACAAAGCACACAGTTTTAACTATCTAAGCCTATTTCATATATATAGAATTTTAAAGCATGATTCATAGCTGCTAAGTTTATTTACTTCTGTTTTAGATAACTCTATTGTGTTGCCATTTTAAATATACTAAATTCTAAATGTTACATTCACAAGTAACTAAATCCTAAGCATAATACCTTCTTTTTTAAGGTGTGTAGGTGTCTAAGAGTTTAAAGTTCAATTCAAATACCTGGCAGGCGTTTTCATCACTCTTACAAATCTGGTTCTTTGCCCAATATCCACTGTTTCTGAGTTAATGGCGTCAGTAGTTAATCGTTTGAACATTGCTCATGAGAAGACCTGGGTCAATTCATAATTTTTTTACACCCAAATTGTTTTATTTAGTGTCTTTTCTCTTTCTTCAAACTATGGCTTAAAAGTACACATTGATTAACAGGGTTCATAGCCACATTTTAGTTAAAAAAATAAGCACCTATAAGCACTTTTCAAGCATATTTTAAGAAAAAAATAAGCACCTGTCTAATTACATCATACACAACTGCATAACCTTACAAATTAGACTTGTAATTTAAAATATGAGAAATGAAGTACTTATTAAGAGAGAATAAGCATTACCTCAACCATGGAAAGAAATTATTTTTTGTTTTGTTTTTAATTTTAAATAATAGTTTAATTTACAGAACTAGTTTACAATGAGAGGGGAAAAAAAAAAAAAAAAAAAACTATGAAGAACTAAACTATATTACAAGATTTAATGATGAAATTTCAGTTCAAAATAGAGAAAATAAATAATAATAAGGCATATTTATTGTATTCGCTTGGAACCTAATAATAAATACAATTTATTTTTCCATTCATATTGATATTTAAATAATTTAAATCTAAATTCTAAACATTTTCTAAATTTTTATTGCATATCAATTTCTCTTAACAGATATTGCAAGCAAAGTAATTTAAGTAAAAGAGAGGAACATTTCTGAAATCAGAAGACAGAAATTTGCTTCATGCAGTTTTTCCATTTTCATCCTTTAACAGTAAAAGCTTAACTAACCCGCATACTTGGAAATTGGCGAATATTCGGACAGTTGAGCGTAACTTGAATGAAGAGATAGCGGAGGGGGATAGACTGTAGCCGCTCTTTAGATTTTCCGCACTAAATAAATGCTTTTGACATTTTGATATGTGCATCATATCAAAATAAACCAACGGAACTAAAAAATATTCTGCTTAGCAAACACAGTAAAACTCTTTTAAATGTTCATAAACAAATCTCGGACTGAACATCAAAATTAATTACCTCTGCAGAAATATCGCAAACGTTATTGTGCAATACGTGTGCCGTAATTCGTATCCCTACGTGATATTACGCAATCGGAATCAACAGCTGCCGGTATTGCGAAGAATAAAGAACTAAATAACTGCGGGTGTTTTTCATTCTAATTTTCAACAGACGGCGTTAAATTTCCGGAATAGAATCATTCTTCGCTTGGATTGGTAGACCGCAGAACTTTTAGTCCTATTCAATCCAGATTGGAAAGTGACCAAAATAAATAAATAAATAAATAAAATTAAATAAAAAAGGTCCGTTGCTTGTTTTGCAGCGAACTGTAGCAGTTTCAATATTTAAAATTTTGCGGAGAAAGGGGAGACCTCACAACCTTCGTACTGTATAATGTATTGGGCAAAAAAATGAAATTATTTTGACTATTCGATTACTTTATTTAAGACATTTCGAATATTATTCCTTAGAAAGCTAATCTGTGTTAAAACACAACCATTTTTGGAAGTTTACTACTATACTTCAGCAGTTACTGCAACTATGTTATTATAAACATTCATACATATGCTCATAATATGAGCATAACGATCATAATAAATGCGAATATGAACTGACCAAGCAGAACGAGAATGCAAATTTTTAAGATCTTGATAGAAATTCAAGCGTGTGTAGTATTTGGGTGGGAGGAAAAGAATGCCGAATGCAGCGGAATTTTCTACTGCTTTCGCAATTCTTTGACCAATAGAACGACGGGCACCTGTCTGTACTCTTCGTGCACACCAATGGTTATGTTAATGCAGAAAAAGGGGGAAAAGCATTTTTCCGGGAGTAAGACTCACCATCTGACATTCCATATTAGACAGAAAAGCTGTTTATTTAGTTTCGGCTTTGGTACCGGGAAAATAACGCGTTCATTAAAAAAAAAAAAAAAAAAAAAAAAAAAAGCACTAAAAACAAAAAAATAAGGGCTTTAAAGAAAAAGTAAGCACCTATAAGGGCCTTTATATTTTATTTTCAAATATAAGGACTTATAAGCACTTATAAGGACCGCTCGAACCCTGATTAACCTTTTAAGTAACTAATGACTAACGGCTTATTTTAATTGAATTCATAATTCTTTCATGAATGCAAGCCATAATTACTGACAATATACTCACAAATGTGCCTTTTTTATGCAAAGCCAGATTCAATTAAAAAAAATTTCAGAGTACTTGTGAATGAAAGACTTTCTGCTTGAACACTGGAACAACTTTTACAATAATAATTTTGTTAGATCATATGAATTATTAATATCCTTGGTTTAACTTAGCACAATGTAAAAGAGAAGTTTCTGATGCCAAAATATTTGGGCTAATAAACAGATCACAATTCTATATACACTTCTTTTACAGCAAAAGAGACTTTTCGCTTATAATATTGTAATTTATCATTCTTAAATATTGCAACTTTGCAATATTTATTACATTTGTTCAGCTTTTTATTTAGAGATCAATAAATTTTATCTCAGAAAATTTAACATGTTCAGTTATAAATTAGAAAGAATATGTACAAATACACATATAAATAAAGATACACACAGATAAGTACCTAGTACTCTTAAAAATTTCAAAAACTTCAAGAAATGAAATTACTTCAGAGGATTCAGATTCTGAACTTGAATGTGTTGGACTTTCTGGCTCTTTAACTTCAGTAGTTTCACCTTCAGGACGTGCTTTCTTTGCAAGCGTTTCTTTGATCAATGGAGGTAATTTACTTTTACGCTTTCCTTTCCTTTAGAGAAATTAAAATTAGAATAGATATTTTCATTAAGTATAAAAAACATGAAATCATTTATTACATTTTTCAATAGTTCAATTATATCTTTCACTGCATATTACTGCACAGTTAATTTTGCAATAAAAATTTCTTCATTAATTTTTGTTGTTAAGTACACCAAAATGAAAAATTATTTTATGTTACGACCACAAAGGGATAAAACTGTTAAATATTTCAAAAACCACAGTTTCTACTTAAACAAAAACTGTCATGTGACATCTACTCAGGTGGAGCTTTAATTATTATTAATCATTTATCATTTGTATTACATAAATGAAATTATTTTTTTTCATAAAACAAAAATATATAAACAAATACATTATAAGATTCACAAGTACTACAGAGTGACTAAAAACCTACATGAATAGCAATAAAAATTTTAAATTCTGCTACAAAGATAAAAGCAAATTATAGGCTTGAAGTATTAACTGATCCCTGAATTATAAATTAGAAAGTTGAAAATTATTACTAATTTACTTTGAAAATTGTGGCTAAGGTGGCTTGTTGTCATCGCCAATTGTTGCTGTTAGAACTAGCTAGTGTCAGGGCACCCTACATGACAGTACAGTGAACCTACTGTTACTGCTTTTAGTTTTTTTCAGTTGGACATTTTAATGGCAATGTTCACCAATTCAGGGTGCCTGGGCAATGCATATTCATCTGGATTTCTGCTATCAGCAAGGATAGAACCCAGGACCAGGGGCAGGGAAAAGTGGATAGAGCAACAGAATTTCACATATGCTCACAAAGTTATTGCTCCGTCGCACTACGGTACAAAAGCCAAGGCCCATCTGGTCTCAAGCCCAGCATTTTACCAATTTCTGCAAAACAGCTGTCATGAAGTGAGGAATAAACAGCAGGGTTTTTCGCAGGCGGACCTTGCAGCACCCTGGAATGAGACCCTTGCAACATTTAATTTTATAGGTGCAATATTCTTCATACAGAGTCTGTGAGTGAACCCATTTTGAGAAAACGTATGGTTTGAAAGACCCCGAATCTGTTGCCATGTGTTCTCATCACTAGGTTTATGAAGATGGGATGCAACTGTTGTGATGTTGTTGGTTGGTAGGGCATGGCTGCATGAGCATGTAATCGATGTTATTGTGATGCAGCAAGGGGGTGCAGCAGAGCATTCATTCACATTCAGGGCACTGCAGATCATTTGTTGTCGTCACCGCTTGTTGTCAGACCTAGTCAGTTTCACTGTCCTCTATGATTGGTATAGTGAACCAATTGCTTCTGCTTTTAGCTGTTTTAGTTGGATATTTTAATAGTGATTTCCACCAACAGAGGGCATATGTTAAATGCATGTTCATCTGGATATCTGATACCGGCAAAGACAGAAACAAAGACCATTTGGTCTCAAGCATGGTACATTACTGATCACTCCAAAACAGCTGTCATGAAGTGAGCAATAAATACCCAGGTCTTTTGTGGGTGACGTTGCCAGCCCTCCTGCAAAACATTTCAAATGAAGTTTTATTCAACATTTCAATTCAGTGAACAGTTATCATATTTCCTACCATATCCCCATCCCCTTTTTTACTAATTTTATAGTCCGAAAATCAAGAGGGAAAAGTTATGCAAATGATTTATTTTTTTGAAGCAAGTGGTTACATTAAGCACATACAAATGAAAATTAATCATAAATAAAATACAGGTATCCATCACAATATTATTTCTTTGAAAGAAACTTACATTCCCAATAAGAATATGCAGTAATATTAGCATTACAATATCTGATAAGAAAGCTTCATTCCTACTTCCCTGTGACTAGTATCTCGCTCATTCTTATTGTTGTCTCTGCTACTTCTTAGACTAGACCTCAAGTCATCCATAAATAATTAGAGAAGGTGAATATGCAGCTGACTCAACAATATCTTAGACTGAATGCCAGTCTGTGTTTTCTGTACTGTGACTAGTTGCTTCTTGTATTACGCAGGCTTAAAGTTCAACATTTGGAAGAAAAGGTTCTTCGTGACATTTACAGGTAGTGTGTGAGAGTTTGTTAGTAAGACAAAAACAATCACTATGTGGATGTATCTATTTTAAAATTTAGGGGAGCTCAAATTATATTAATAATTTTTTTAATTTTCAGAGCCTGGTGGTAAACAGCTTGGGTGACGGAATACATTAGAAAATATCCAGTAATAAGATTGACTAAATTTCAAAATCTATTTGAATTACATAAAACCCTTTCAAGACAAAAACAAGTTAATATATTAAAATAAGAAGCACCTTAAAAAATGAGAAAGTATAAGAGATAGTGAAATTCACTCATAAATTCAGAAAACACTTTAATGCACTTACATAGACAATGCTGCATCTTTTGCTAATTTGGCTTGAAGTTCACGATTTTCCTCAGTGAAAGGCAAAATAAACTCTTCTTTCACGCATCGATCCCAACTAAAACCATTAATGAATAATTATCACAAAAACAGTATGTTCTTTCTTAATAGATGTTACAAAAGGTTTAACAAGATGATTTAATTAATTTTAATACTTTTTTTTAAAACAAAAGGAAATTAAAAATTTTAAAATACAGTGATATCTAAATTTGTGAGCATGATGCATTTGGAAAAGATACTGGTTATTCAAAGCACTTAAATATCAAAGTAAATTTTCCCAAAACAAATAATGGAAATTAAGATGATTCATTCTGTAACTTTTCATAGTCAAATGATTGATAAAAGATAAAAATAATATTACAAAAAAAATTGGTACTTATATGTTAATGGAAAAGGACTGGTTAACTTTGCCATAATTCAATACAATTAGTGTTCCTTCATTTTGGATAGGAAATGTTTGGCAGCTTCTAAAATAGCTTTGAAGGATTTTTTTACCCTGAGTTACAACTTTCTACAGCTACATGTACTCCACTAAGTACAACTTCATTGCTGTCTTGTTGTTTTGCAGCACTGCCATGTAGTTGTTAGGAGAAGTACCATAGCTCTCTGCCACTAGATGGCAAATTTGCTGTTATCTAGTGGCAGATAAGTCAGTTATAATCTAATGTCTTAAAAATAGCATGGTAATAGTGAAATAATTTTATGTAACTAAAAATTAATTAAAATGCTTTTATTGCTTGTAAACACTATTTCAGAAAACAAAATTTGGGATATTATGCCTTAAATTATTTCTTTTTGTTAATTTCTATTTTCATATATAATATTTGTAATTGTGATTTGTGAGGTTCTAACTGTAACCTGATATATACTGTCGACTATGAGAATCGTGTTGTAAAATAAAGTGTGCTTTTTGTGCTAAGTTTTTTGAGAAGTTATTACTGTGTGAAAGGACTCTCGAGTAATATTTTATTTTTTCTCAATAACTGGATATGTAAGCAAATGAGGCGATATGCCTCAAATATGTTATTTGCGTAGTACTTGGGGAAAAGCTGTTACTTTCCAGTTGAGCCGAACGCCTGTAACTATATGTGGTGACCTTTAGGACTCTCTCCTGGAACATTTTCTGTTCATTATGCCTGATGTACAGCCTTCCATGGTTGAAAATAAGGCCAAGGATAACAGAGTTAGTGCAAAAATATCTCCTTTCTGCATCAACAAACCAGAAATCTGGTTCTACTAAGTTGAAGCCCAGTTTGCCATTAGTGGAATAACCAGCAAGGAGACAAAGTTCAATTACCTCGTGGCCCCATTCGAACCACAATCAATTTAAAATATCTGTTATTTAATAAAGGATGCCGGAACTAATAAATATTATGTTGCTGAAGCATGTTTGATGCAAGCGTTTAAAAATAGTGAAAATCTCAAAACCAAATGTCTCCTTACAGGATTAGAACTGGTTGATACGAAACCCAGCCAGCTACTGCACAGAATGAGATCGCTTGGTGACACGGATGACATTTCCGACAAAGTGCCACAAACTCTTTGGCTTGAAAAATGCCTGATGTGGTAAAACATGTGCCGATTGTAAGTGATGAGGACTAGGAAAAATTAGGTACAATGGCAGATAAAATACTGGAAATGCAACCACGATCAGAACTTGCCAGTGTTAACAAGAATAATGCTCCGGTAGATGAGCTTTTAAATAAGTTTTCTGCTTTGAAACTTCAAGTAGCGAATATGACTGCCCGTAATTCCCGATCAGAATCCCGGTGGAAATCGTAGTGCGAGTCGCAACAGATACAGGAAGAGGTTCGATCCAAATGCTAAATACTGCTATTACCACTTCAAGTTTGGCAAGAAGTGCTTCCCAGAAAAATGCAAGGAACCTTACATCTAGAAACAGTCGGAAAACATAAACCAGCAGTAGAATCGGTGGCAAGTCCTGCTGCAATGGGTCCCGACTGCCTCAAATTGCGATTATTATTAGTCAAGGGCAGAAAAACAGGTTTACGGTTTTTAGTAGATAGTGGTGCTCATGTCTTTCTCATTCCATCAAATTTAAAAGCAGAAAAACCTCACTCCTATACATTGTATGCAACTAATCTCAACGTTTGGATTCAGAACTTTAACTCTTGATCTAGGACTACGATGGCCATTCCAATGGCCTTTTGTGGTAGCCAAGGTAAGTAGAGGAATTATTGGTGAAAGATAGATAGTAAGTAGAGGAATTATTTGACTTTTTAAATAGATTTCACCTTCCGACTGATATTCACAAAAGAAAATTGATTGATGGTATTAATTAGTTATATGTCAACAGTGATATTATGTCTATAACTGATGAGCAGTGCATTAGCACTTTTGATCAATTTTCAGAATTTTCTGATTTACTTAAATTATATCCAGATATCACAGAAACCTAATATTTTGAGTACCTTTGTTAAACATGGTGTTCAGCACTAAATTAACTAAAGGAGTGCCTGTTCACTCTCGCGCACAACTAGATCCTGCAAAATTGGCACTAGCCAAGCAGGAGTTCCAGTTTATGTTGGATAATAATATAATTTGGCTATCAAAATGTCAGTGAGCTAGTCCACTACACCCAGTTAATAAGAAAGACGGCACACTGCGTCCCTGTGGTGATTATAGGTGATTAAACGAGCAAACTGTTCCTGATTGATATCCTATCCCTCAAATGGAGGATTTCAACTTGATCTTACAAAATAAAGTTACCTTTTCTAATATTGATTATTAAGGCTTATTATCAAATACCTATTGCAGAAGAAGATAAGCCAAAAATTGCCATCGTTACGCCAGTTGGTTTATATGAATTCAATGTTATGAGTTTTGGCCTACGAAACACCCCATCTACATTTCAAGTTTTATAAATGAGGTTTCTCACTGCCTGAACTTCTTATTTCCATATTCAGATGATGTGCTAGTGGCTTCCTCATCAAAAGAAGAACATAAAGAGAATCTTAAGTTAGTTTTTAAGAGGCTGAATAATTATGGTCTTCGTATTAATGTAGGAAAATCCATAATGGATGTTGACCAAATAGAATTCTTGGGATACCTTATCACAGCCAAAGGATCACAACCTCTCCCTGCCAAAGTTCAAGTAATCTTGGTTTACAAGTTATCAAAACCCTTGCATAACCTACGTACATTTCTAGGAATGCTGAATTTTTACTGCAGATATTTGAAAGATGCTACAAAAATGCAAGCACTGCTACACGAAATGCCGAAAGGTGCAAAAAATAAAGATAAAAGGCCAGTTCCTTGGACAGAGGATGCCATAAAACAATTTGAAAAATGTAAAAGGGATCTAGCTGATGCTGCACTCCTGAGTTTTCCAACACCTGGACTTTCATTATCTTTGTACACAGATGCTTCAGACTGGGCTATAGGCTCAGTACTAAAGCAATATGAAGATGGAAGTTGGAAGCCAAAAGCCTTTTATTCCAAAAAATTAAACGAAATTCAAAAAGCATACAACACTTACGATCATGAGCTGTTAGGTGTATACCAGCGCCCTTTGATTTTTCTGACATGGGGCAAAAGCTAAAACTGCCGCCCTCACCCAGCATCCTTTAAATTTCTCTAACATATTTTAATTTGTTTAATAAATACAGAAATAGATAGGGTTTGAGGTAAAAACCTAAGCTCCATTTTATACTAAATTCTTTATGTGACCTTTTTTTTTTTTTTTTTTTTTTTTTTTGTGTGTGTGTGTGTGTGTTTTGTTATAAAGGAAAAATACGTACCAAAGTTACATAATTAGAAAATGGTCCCCTCCTAGAAGAATCGTCTTTCTGTTGAGATTACTTTCGGATTCAATCCTAATCCTAACTATAATCCTCAGTGCTTCTAGCCCTCCAGTCCTCGCCACCATTCGTTCCTCCGCTCTAGGGGAAACGGGCATATCCTGTTTCTCACTATTCTGTATTATTGCATACTGGTTAAATCAGGTTAGGTTAGATTATATGAATATGGCAAAGACAGGAGGGCTATCTGCTTAGAGGAGAGGTGCTTTAGTGGAGAAACTTTGTAAAGGAAACTGGCTCGTATTCACATTACACATGAGGAAATCCACGAAAATAAACCATGCAGCCAGCACGTTCTCCTGGGTTTGAACCCAGGCAAGGTTGAACTACGCGTATTCATCGGTCTTAATCACTCGGCCACTGCTGAGGACATTTTTTTTTTATTATTTACTATGTGTTTCGCCATTAGGCATTGCATGGAAAGGGAAGAATGCACCGTGGAAACAATGTTTAAGGGAAACTGGTTCGTACCTGCTAGAGGAAAACGCTTTCGTGGAGGAACTTTTTAAAGGAAACTGGCTCATATTCATGTTACACATGAGGAAATCCACAAAAAGAAACTATGCAGCCAGCCCGTTCTTCCGTTATTTATTGAACCCATGCAAGATCGAACTACCAGTATTCATCGGTCTTAATCACTCGGCCACTACTGAGGACATTTGTTTGATTATTTACTATGTGTTCCGCCATTAGGGACTGCATGGAAAAAGAGGCATGCCCAGTGGAAAAAATTTGAAAGGGAAACTAGCTCGTATCTATGTTACACACATGGAAAATCACGGAAATGCTCATACAGCCAGCACACTCACATATACTTGACCCTCGGACCGAACTACTAGTGCTCAGCAGCTTTTATTGATCAGCCACTAATTTATTACCGTAATAATAACAGTCAATTTATTACCCTAATAATAATTGCTGAGCTAACTGTGCTCAGCAGCTTTTATTGCTCAGCCAGGGAAAATTGCCGAGAAATGCCTATTGCCAAAAGAAAATATTCTGAAAAGATTATACAGAATACGGTTTATTTATGGAATTATGGTTTATTAGAATATGGTTTGGTATTTGTGCTTCCTGTCTTGTTTCTCATACTTCCTATTTCATAAGTAATTTTAAGTTCTTATCTGCCTTAAGTCTAATAAAATAATCATGGAATTAGTAAAGAAAATTAAAATTTTACTCTGAAATCCTTTTGTTCTGTAAATAAATGCATGGCATCGTCATAATTTGATCTGCG